TAGAACTAACCTGACCAAAGAGATCTGACAACAGATTTCTACTGCGTCCTAACTGCCTCGCCAGGACCTACCCCCCGAAGGTCCGATCGAACAGGATGTACGTTTGACAACAGGAGACATTGTCAGTTTGTTGGAAGGGTGTTTCTGCACCACACATCACTTGGGATCTGTTGACACTTGAACGAAATCCTCAAAAACCATGACGATGTTATGGTGATAATACATCAGGCTTGGACTGCTGCAACTGAAATGGATGAGAAAGCTACCATCATTTTAAACTTATCATTAGCTAAGTAACTGACAGCAGGTGATCGTCGATACAAAGGCTGTTTCTGCTTTTTGCAGGTTTCTCAATATACAAACAAGTGACATCCAAGTGGACATGAAAAAGATTCACTTTATAGAGGCAGCAGGGAGAAAGAGTCTGTGCTAATTGGCCTGAATTTGAGCTGTCACACACACACACACACACACACAACCACAGTGCACCTTCTGTTAGCCAAATATAGCAGAGCCTTAGCTGTCACTGACCATTTGTGGCTAATAAACGCAAACTGCAAGAGCACCTAAGAATCCACATTTACTGGAACTAATGAATCACAATTCAACTCACTTTAGGTTTATTCTGCTGTCATCCTTTCTCAACTAGGTATCTAAGCTTGTTCAGACCTTTAAACAGCAGCCACCAGGGCTTAACAACTCCGCAAACATCTCAAAAACAGGCACCAGTTGTTCTGCAATTCTAGTGTCCAAAACTCAACACGAGGTGTTCTTTGACCCCTAGACCAGTACCTGGGCTATCTATGAGCCTTCACCTGTGGCTGAACAACCTGTTCTCTTGCCCCTTTCACCCCATCACCCACATACCTCCCCCTTAGTCACAAAGTCCAGCTCAGACGTGGGTGCAGGGTGAACAGAATGAACTGGCCTGTTGTCCAAATCGATTCCCTGTCATTTCATTTACTCTAATTTATGCACTTAAGTGTGGAGTCAGTGTCATAGTCTTGACCCAGGACATGTACATATGTGTGCATATGCAAAAAAAAAAACAAGAAGAAAGGAAACAATACTGGATATGTTCCATATAGAGAAGCAGTAATATTTGTTGGCACAGGTATGTTTTCAGACTGTTCATAAAGTGTTATCATGCATCAGGAGTTGAGCAACTGCACTGGGACAGCTACTGTAGGTGTGGTGCAGAAACTGTGTGTGTGCAGCTTCTATGTTTGTGACGACCAGGTTTCATCTTTAGCCCCTGAGAGTGAAAACAGTTTGGACAGTGAGGATATTTTTCCTGATTCACATCTTTTCAAAGGGCTTTTTCTTCTGATTGGTTGTCAGCGGTGACGTGTGAACACGCAGCTGCCTTTCAGTGCTTTTAGTGTTTCACATATTATCGACTGTTTAGGAAATTTTCAAAAAGCACCCTTTAAAGGGAAACTCAAATGTAGTGCCGGCCACATTCAAGGGTTGTGTCATGCAAGTAGATGATGCTGATGTGAGCAGCGAACACACCACCCACTGGATCGTTGGCCTACTGCTGGTGATTTCACCCCTGCTCTATACTGAAAAACTATTTTATTTCCTTGTATCTATTTCAAACATACCGCATGTCTGAAAATGACAATGAACCTGAACTGGATGTACGATTGCGACTAAGCATGTACATTAGATGTGATTAGAAAAGTTAGACTTAGGGGCTAGAAAGCCACAAGCTGCTTCTCCAGTCATTTACATAGCTTGTCAACCAGCCTGTCAGTCAGCCAGTCAGATGGCTACTGGTTTATAGCAGCCTTTCCTGTTCCTTCTCTATATCCTTTAACTGCACAGATGACTGGCTTTCCTAAGATCCTGTAAGCTGCGTGTGTGTGAGTGTGTGTGTGTGTATGAAAGAGAGAAAGAACAACAGTGAATGACTAATAATGTAGCATAGTGCAGAACAGGAAGACATATGAGTCAGTGCAGGACATCAGGAGCTAACCTTTGGGTGTGAATCTGCCTTTTAGCTCTGTTAAGAGACACACCCTCACCATTATAATGAGCCGGGATAAGAACAAGAGATGTGCATGTTTCTTTAAAGTGGGTTACCGCAGGGGAAATTCAATTAAACAATTTAACTGTCTGTTGTTTAAAATGTCAAAAGATATGGAAAAATGTGCATCACAATTTGCAAGAGCCCACGGAGTCATCTTCAAAAGGCTGCCTTTGTCCGACCAACAAACCAAAATCCAAAGACATAAAATCCACTCTTACATGAGAGAAACAACAGCAGCAACAGCTCACAAATGAGAAGCTGGAACTGGGTACGTTTGACTGTGTGACACAAATGATTATTTAAATTAATCAATTATTTGTTTAGTCTAACCCAAAGACAGATTCAGTTTACAGTGAACTAAAACTGAGAAAAGCACCAATTCCTCACATTGGAGAAGCTGCTACAGTTTAAGTTTGGTATTTTCCATTACAGTGAATGTTTGTCGATCACATTTCTGTCAGTTAATGACTAATAACTACTGACTCTTCTGGTACAATTAATACATCAACTTTTTAAGAAAAATAGCGAGTCATTCTCACAGTCTCATTCAACGCTACAGCTCAAAGTTAACTCTGAAAATCACCAACAGTCTGAAGAGAACAATTGGTTTTAGATAAGTTTATTTTTTGTAAACATTACTATAAGATAAAGTAATATTACAGAAGGAAGAGCACACACGGTAAAGAAGAAACCTCCACGCCCAGTTCCACATAATCCTTCTGATGTTACAGTTAAAGGTGGTGACTTCAAAAAATAAAATGTGCGCACTAGGGTCAGCACCAATTACCAGCCTGGTGACGTCAGTGTTCTATAATGGCCCCCACAGCCATAAACAGCAGAGTCAGACCTCAGAGAGAGTTTTCACCTCTTAAAAGAAAAATAATCTCAGACGTTTCCACACAGGAAGGAAAAAAAGTCTTTCATATTCTGATCAAGTTTTATTTGCTTAATCTGGTGAGTGAAGTTATCTGGAACATGCCGTTCACATGTAATGTACTGGGTGTCTGTTTGGTCTTTTAGCTTTTGTTGACATACCCAGACAGACCCAGTAAGACAAGGCTAGTAAGATTTTAATGTGTTCATTTTGGAGCAGAATGTGGATTAAATGACCCACTGAAGCTCCTTTAAGGACCCCTGCTGGTCCGTTACTGCACAGTAACGAAAAGGGGACAAAAACAAAAACATAAATTCATTGTAGAGAAGATAACGTTAACATTGTTGTTAGAGAGTCAGTTACATAGCAAGTAATGGGGAAAGTCATTTGGGTTAAAGATGTCTTTAAGCAGAACAACACTGATCAAAAAACAGGAAGCATTGTTCGTAATGAAAAGGAGGGCCACAGCGGATTTCACGTAGCCGCTCGATGACTCATTGGATCAGTCCTGACGCAATATCACAGGGACACACACTGTTATCACACCTACTCTGGGAAACGACTTTCAGGAGGAAAATAAAACCTTTAGAGCACATTAATCTGCTCTCAGCCCACTCCTGGCAGTTCAGGAAGTTAGTGAAGCCATAGTTATGACACTGCTAGCTGTCAACAACCTGAAGAGTATATGATGTGCTTACAACAGATCTCAGCAGTGTTGGCTCAAATGGGCCACCGCTGCTGTTACACACCAACTAGTCACACTACAGACTTACACTTTCTACTTCAAAAGAAAAAAAAATGATTTCTGCTCACTGGTGTGTCAAAATTAAAAATACTAGACTAACAACAAATGTCTTTTTCCACCAGCTTCTGTCAAATTTTCATCATATGTGTATTAAAAAAAAAAAAAATCACAGCTAACAAAAGTAACAACATTCAAACTGGACAACTAATAAATAAAAGACAAATAATTGATTACAACACTGATTTCTTCTGTGAAAAAAGCACCACTAACTGGGAGAGGGTGGAAGTGAAACATGTCAGCTCTTTATAACCTCGTCATAACTTCAGTTGTAAAAAATAAAACTGTCCAGGCTATTCTCAGCCATGGACACACACATGTGCACAGATACACAAGGTCGGAATAAACACACTTAACAATGTGCTAATTACTCGTAACACTGTTTTGTAGTGCAAATGTTTATATTGCTCCAAAATTTTAAAAAGCCATAGTGGGAAGAGAAAAAGGAAAAGGTGTGTGTGCGTTAAACCTTTCAGTCCAGCTCTTTCTTAGTGGCAGGTTTCACTAATAAAGGGAAACATGACCATTCACCATACCTTTGATAAAGGCACATTCCACTGTTTTTAATGACTAAAGTACATATAGTCACTAGATAACCTGCACTTCTGTGTCTCTTCTTCTCTCTGATGTCTCCATATTCAACCGTGACTCAAATCCCAGTCTCTACTTGCACTATGGCGCCCCCTGCCGAAATCTGCAAACTATGGCATCAGTCACTGAACTTAAGCCAAGCTGACACTTTGGATGATAAAAGGATGTTTTGAATAATATTCGTGTGCCCTGCATGTAAACAGCAGCAGTCCTGTTGATTATGTTTCTTACATCAGATCTTTTGCCACTGTTTTCTCTTTATATTTTACAGTAAATGTGGATCCGTGACAAATACATTTATGTAATGGTCCACAGGCTGATAAATGTGTCCATGTTTTGGTTAATGTGAGCAGAAAGTCAAAGTGCCCTGGTGGCTGGATACAAAGCTATCACCTCAGAACCCTTCTCATAAGGCTGAGTGGACAGATTTCAAACCAGATCGTGGCTTTAAATAACAAGTAAACTGCACAGATAGAGTGAAGCCATGACTCCTGAAACACCAGGCACAACTAACGGTCGGATTTGGTGAAGTTAGGAACTGTATAATGTACATGTACAAATTAGGCAGTTATTGTCTGGCAGTTAGGAGAAATGAATCTGCCTTCCTGCTCAGAGTCAAAATCAATATCGCCTTCACTAGGGAAACACAAACCATAAAATTGATTTATTGTCTTTTTTTATGAATCATTATTTCTCACCTTTTCACTTGTAGCTGTGCAAACACATTCAGGCCTTCATCTGTATGGTCTGTCATCTCAGCTGGATCAATGTGAATGAATGAGGCTTAACAGAAGCTAAAAAGAAAGAAAGACAATTCTGTATATTATATTGCATACAGTATGTTTAAACAAACAAACATACAACCTAATATACTCCAAAGACAGTTCATTTGGTGGGACATTAGTATGTGGTTGAATCAGAGATGAACAAGAAGCATGACAGACTAAACTGAAATCAACAAGGTGTCAACAAACGAAGGTAGGTATTGGACCAGCTAGATGCAAACAAAGGTGTTTGAATAAACAAACATTTATAACAAACAATTTGTTACTGTAAGTTCTGGGAAAATAATCTGGATTCAAGAAGCAAAGAAAAAGGTAAGAATGAAAAAGTACTAGAGAGAAATTTTAAACAGTGAATCAAAGAATTGTGAAATCAGACACTAAGGACCTGATGCCAATCTCTAAACTAATGATATTAATATAATTTTGTCTGTAATTTGTAGAACCTTTATGGTTATTTACGCTCACTCAACACTTTGCGGCCTAAAAAATGATTAAAACAACACACTTCTTAAATGAACAACATTAAATACAAATCATACCACAAAAAGAATTTGACTGAGTTTGTGCCTTGTGTGCAGACAATGTTTAAAAGCAAAAACTGGGATTGAAAAAAAAAAATACAGAAAGTGCATCACAAAGTTAGATCCCATTTTCGGGCCTGAGTCAGGACAGCCCTGGCTACCTGCAAAAATACATCTATACATAAAGCGGACACCCAGTTAATCAAATGTTGCACTGATATGAATACAATACAAGAGCTGCTGAATGTGTAATGAGAGGTGGGTTAAATAGCTGCAAATGCTTTTGTTAAATGTTGCAGTAGCTGGACAAGGCAAACGTAGGCCTACACTAGGCCCCTGCTACCAGAGAGGCCTCACACTATAAAATAATACTAGCTTCATTTTCACAGACATGTTAATAAGATATTAACTCACTGACAAACCTCGTTTGGCACGAAAAAGACATTTTCCATCTAAAGAAGCTGCTAATGTCGCTGATAAGGTATCACGCCGAGTGTTAGTAAGATTTTGTCAAGTCAAGATTTTTATTTGCCATTTATGCATAAACAGACGGTCTAGGCATATAGGAATTCTTGTGCAGCTCTCCTTTGGAGTCAGGTAAGGAGTCAAAGGCCAGAAAGAACACTTAGTCTTAAAATAAAAAGTTGTGCGAATGCTCATCTCACTTCAGAGGTTATCTTAAGCATCCATATTGGTATTCCATGACCTGAATGTTATACAGAGAAGTTTCGATTTGTCTGCTCTTTTTACCTGTTCTGTGCGGTGGAGTTACTGCTAATCTTCATCCACATCTAGAAGTCAGGTCAGAGCTCAGGTGAGACAATGAACCGTCAGAACGCACAGTGACATTTTTATTAAGCATCACGTGTCTGCCTTGCACGGAAGCCAGTTTAATTTATATCACAATTAATAGAATAGTACATTATGTAACGATATAGACTTGCAAACACTGATTAAGTGGGTGACAGCTCTTACTTTGTGTTACATCTACCAGCATACAGCGCCTACCGATGGTGGATGTTAAGAGTTGTTTTCATTTATTGAAACTTCTGTGTGTGTGTCCATAAAATGAAATTACTCTTGCATAAAATGGCTCTATTACATATTAAAACTTCACAAAAAATATTATTATCTCTAATATTTTAGGCTATGTGGTTACAAAACATGACAAAAAAGAAAAAAAAAATGTAATCAAAATACAACAGTTAAACGGAATTTTCCAGAAGGACTGAGTTTGTTTTGATCATCAGTTGTGTCTTTTATATGGCTGTTGTTGTAGGATTTACTAAAAGACTCACACCTCCCACAGACAACTCCACTAATTCTCCTCTAATTCATTTTGCATTGAAAATTATCTAATGGACTACAGGAAGTCACCCGTCTGACGTCACCTGACTCGCTTCTTTCCGATTGGCAGTCCTTCATGCTCGGATCACGTGACCATCTCTCAACTCCCTGTCCCGGCGGAAGCCAAATCGGCACTTTTGACGGCAGAGATAATGAACTTCTTTGTATTTTTGTGTATTTAACAATAAAACAACAACCTCAAAAGTTATTATGCGCAAAGCACGGACGTCGACGATGAAATAGGTTAGATTTTAATTAACCCGGACGCATGATAACAGGTAGGTTGACAGCTTTCTAAAGCTGAAAGTGGCTTGTTTTTGTTGTTTTGCACTGTCGGGCACTGCATTAACAAATGCATAATGTACTCACTAAAATAAAAGCTTGTTATAGCGCCTTATTAATCATACACTTAACTCGCCGCTTTGCATATTGTCTATTACTTCAAATACTTCTAAACCTACTGTGTTTTTAAGGACTTATGATCTTAGACTCCGGATATGCCTATTTATTTTTTACATTTATGGTTCTTAGTCTTCTAGCTACGAGCTAACTTTCCCTGTATTTTCTATTTTGAAGCTCTCAAGTAGCGGTTACTCTTTCCTTTTCCTTTACCTAATTTAAGAATTGACTAATCTTCTGTGACTCACTTTCAGCTTAAACCAAAAACACTTGTTTCACGTGTTCTTCTCCAAGTTCTTTTCTCTAGTGTAATTTCTTCCTCTGCTTTTTAAGGAAGCAACAGAACAAACGGTCAGTGCTAAAAATCCAAAGCACATTTGGGCCATTTTTGTTTGCCTTAATCTTGAGATAATAGAGATCATCTGCTTTATAAAACACAGTCCAAGAAGAGTAAACCATTGTGCCTTCATAGTGTTGCTGCAACATCTGTGTGGACTGTGTTACAGCTTTCAGGTGTGTGTGTGTGTGTGTGTGTGTTTTCAGTTGCATATCACCAATCAGCTGCACTTCACAGACACATTTTGGTAATAAAGGTCTCTGTGCACCATTTCACCATTGCATCCTTCTTTTTAAATAAGTTTATCAACTTCAAACAAGAGTCCTTCTTTCTAAATAAGTTTATCAACTTCAAACAAGAAACAGATGAGTGTCAGATTGTAGCAGCGTCCAAAATGCCTCTGTTCCCCAGTGCAGTGCACTGTGTCAGTCATTGTAATGATTCATGTTTCAGTGAGGAGACTGATGCGCACTGCTGCTGTCAGCATTTAGGTTTCCATATTTCTTCTTTCTTTGAAGCAAATTTTATAACTCACAAGACATCGGATTCAATAAACGCTTTGTCTTGATCACATTCTTTACAGTAGTTGATGTACAGCGGTTCCAGTGGTCGTGAGCCCGGCTCCCAGCACCTCAGAGCGACCTGTGTGCAGTTTGTCAGCACCTGGAGCTGTGTGTGTCTTTGTGCTACAAATGACCTAAGTGTATTGTCAGTCTGTGGTGTGGAACACATCTAGAACCTTCTCTTTGTTAAGTCTGTAAAGGTTAAGCAGAGTTGTGTGTGTAAAGAGGGGACAATGGTGTTGGAGATGGACATGTTTCAGAACTCTCTGGCTATGAGTATTTCTTACTCAAACAGAAACCGAAGGTTCCTAAATTGTTATGTTGTCAAATTCACTATGTTTATGTAATTCTTAAAAACTCATTTTTATCCCCAGCTGGGTTCGGGTTGGTAAACATCAGTGTGTTTTAATGTGCAGATCTTTACCTCTTGTTGTTTTCAGCTGCTGACATGCATGAGCTTTCTTGTGCAACTTCAGTATCACATCATTCATCAAGTCTTTACCACAGAAACATGAAGACATGATGTAACATTGTGTGCTTTGTTCCTCTGTTTGGTCTCAGAGCTGACCTGACCTAACAGTCATTTTGTCTGTGAGCATGAAGCTGGACATTGCTTACAACCAGGTATGTTGTTGTTTTGTACTTTAGTTCAACAGAATTTCTCCATTTCAGTTTGTAATCATTTCCACTTTTGATTGGGTTTGATTATTTGTTTAAATCAGTTATTAAGTAATTTGTAAATACTTGATAAATGATAAAATTAGAGCAGCTGGTTAGTCCTGTTGCCTCACAGTAAGAAGGTTCCGGGTTTGAGCCCCGGCCGACCCAGTGCCTTTCTGGTTGGAGTCTGCATGTTCTCCCTGTGTCTGCGTGGGTTCTCTCCGGGTACTCCACCTTCCTCTCAGAGTCCAAAGACATGCAGCTTAGGTTGATTGGCGACTCTCAATTGCCCGTAGGAGTGAGTGTGGGTATGTGTGGTTGTCTGTCTACATGACCTGTGACAGACTGGTGACCTGTCCAGGGGGAGGGCCCTGCCTCTCGCTCTTTGTCAGCTGGGATCGGCTCCCGCCCCTTCACAACCCGTAATGGATGGATGAAAGGATGATAAAATGAGATTTGCACAGTGAGTCTGGTTGATAAAGCTGCCATAAAAGGTGTTAGTCTTGTTTTTATGGCATTATTATTCACACTCTTGAGATCCTCTTATTTGTTTCTGTGATTCATATTCCCATGGGCAATGAGGAAATGTTTTCTACATTATGACTATGTTTGCATTTGTTTCAGTGGACATGTAAAATCAAAACTGCAGAACTTCCTCATTTTTTGTTGTAAGCTCAGAGCTTATTTCACATCACGTGAATTTTTATCTTCTACTTGATCTTATTTTGAAAATCCCATCCCATGAATGTTAACAGGGTTGCAACAGGCAATTTCTGTAATATCGTGGACTTATTGTGGGTTTTACTCAGTGAAAACATCAGATAGTTGATTCCCTTCTTATACCAAAGGTCCATACTGATGGATTCCGGCGCTCCGCAGGTCCTCCTAGCTTTGCTTTTCAGATAAACGATTTTATTTGTTTTATTTTTATTGGCAGCATCGCTGTTGTATTAGATGTTTTAGTTCCATTTGGTGTGAAAGGCCTTACACAAATCTATGTTTGTTGTGTTCACATGTGCTTCTGGTGCCTGTAGCTGATGCATGTGGAATGGAGGAGACGAGACAACAGGCAAATACACTTGGTAGGCTACAGTGCACACATACATAGTGTGTACACACACCAAGTCATTTCTACTTACCAGTAGTACTTCACGCGAGACTTTCAACACAAAGAACTAGGAGTAAAGACATTATCACACACACAGACCTAAACATGATTTAGGTCACATTGAACAATACACAGATGTTCTAAGTGTGGTGCATCTTTCCAGTATTCCAGGTATGTGATGGCTCTGGCCACTGTGACTACTGTGCTGCTAGCCGCCATGGCTCTCTATAACCTCTTGACACCGAGGGTTTCCTCCTCCCATCCTGCACCGAGCAGCAGCCTCCATCTCTCCCCAGCTGAGTCCTGCTCAGACTCCTGCAGGTAAGCAAACATCTGCACACACAGTAGACATTCCAGCATGTTTACTCAGCCTGGGTGGTTCAGACTGTGTCTTATAGTTGCTGCATCATTTACGCACTGTTCAGTAGTGATTTAAACAGAACAAACTTAAACATGTATAATATCAGAGCTCATACCAAACCATTTCTGCACCTCGCTGCAAAGGCGTGCGTTACAGTACGTGTGTATGACTGAATCAGTCATCTCCTTAAACATCAGTAAAATATGTTGTCATTCCCTGTACACTGCTGTTGTTGAAGATAAAGTGAAGATAAAGTACAGTCAGGGAAAAAATTATTTGAACCCCAGTTGATTTTGTAAGTTTTCCCCCTAACAAAGAAATGATCAGTCTACAATGTCAATGGTAGGTTTATGTGAACAGTGAGAGACACAACAATATGAAAAAAGTCAGAAAAATGCATTATGAAAAAAGTTACAGTATAAAGTAATTTGCATTTTCATGAATGAAATAAGTATTTGATCCCTTTGCAAAACGTGTTTCAGTACTTGGTGGCAAAACCTTTGTTGGCAATCACAGAGGTCAGACGTTTCTTGTAGTTGGCCACAAGGTTTGCACACATCTCAGGGGGGATTTTGACCCACTCCTCTTTGCAGATCCTCTCCAAGTCATTAATGTTTTGTGGCTGATGTTTGGCAACTCGAACCTTCAGCTCCCTCCACAGATTTTCTATGGGATTAAGGTCTGGAGACTGACTAGGCCACTCCATGACCTTAATATGCTTCTCTTGAGCCAATCCTTTGTTGCCTTGGCTGTGTGTTTTGGATCATTGTCATGCTGGAATACCCAACCACGACCCATTTTCAATGCCCTGA